CTCCTATGGGTAGGATACCCAAGGGGCAGGGGCACGGGCACGGGGGAATGGGTTCCGAGCTCGGTTTCTGGGATTTCCTTTGCTCCAAGCAATCCGCCAAAAGGCCCCGCAACTCGAGGAGCGCAGCCCTCACCAGACACGAGCATCATGAGCATCAGCCGGTCCTGGGCTGGAGGAGGGGGGGAGTGTCGACTAGGGTCGCTTGCGTTTAAGGTGACCCATGTCGGGAAGTGACGCCACTGGACCCTGCTGGGTAAGCTTGGACCCGCAACCCTAAACCCGCATCCAGGCTGCAAGAAAGCCGCGAGCCGACGCGGATGCGTTGCAGGCACTGTTCCGAGCAGCAGCGAGCTTCAAAGCAAGCTGTTGCCTCTACCTCGACCGCAGGAGCCGCCAGCAGGAGTGGAAGAGACACGGTCGGGGGCGTCATCGCGGCGAGAACAGCCCAAGGCAGGATGCATAGACTCGGACAAAGACCTTCCTGTCGCCCTGTGTCGCGAGCCGCAGGCACTGCCGGGAGCTGCGCCCCCGGACCCAGATGCGGCACAGGTGCCGGCCAAGCGCAGGAAGCGAGGGCGAGTCCAGTCTGAAAGGACAGCTGCAGAGAGAGCGGGCGATCTGGGCTTGGACGGGCTGTACTTCAACCGCACTTTTCAGACTGCCCATCAAGCTGACAAGCCTGCCATGCGTGGGGGCCACCGGCTGAAGTTTCAGGAGGCAGTTCTAGATGACAAGCCGCTCCGTTGTCGGACTTGCGCGGCTCTGCGGCAAGCCTTCCTACAAATTCGGGCCTCGAAGCAAGGCGAGGTGCAGGCCCTGGAGGATGTCAAGGAGCCACAAATCCTTCCAGACCGGGGAGCGGCCGAGGAAGCCGGTGCTGGGGGACAGGTGATCCCGGCGGAGTTGGAGACCGATGCGGTCCGGTCCCACGCCGAGGATGGGGGACAGGTGATCCCGGCAGAGTTGACCGATGCGGTCCGGTCCCAGGCTAGGCGTCGAGGTCGCCCAAAGCGCGGCGACAGACCGCCCAGACTGGCAGACTGGATCAAGACGGAGCGCCAAGGAGTCTACACGTGGAAGTCGGGCCAGCGATACCTCTGCGAGGCTTGTGGTGAGGAAGTGTCTTTCTATCGCTCTAGCATGTCGGCGGTGACACTTTACGTGCACAAACACGAGGACACCAAGAAGCATCAGGCGGGCCTTGCTCGCTTGGGTTGGCCGCAAAATGCCGAGTTGCGGGCCGTGGCAGCGCCGGTCGAGCTGTCCTGCGAAGGCCATCGTCTTGGCCAGGGGGGCTGTTTGCTGAATCCTCGGCAGCAGTCTTGGTTCCACTGGCTGCGGGAAGGGCAGCCTCAGTTGAAACCGGTCGCAGGCCAGGGAGTCCTTGTGTCACATCGTTGTGGAGTGGGACGAGGAGGTGCCGCTGATACGGCACAGGGGCTGCGTGGCACGCGGGCAGGGCAGCCTATGTCGTGCATGTGCATCGCTGGCCAAGGACCAGAATCGCGAGGTGTGCCGCTGGGCCTTTCGGCTTGACTTGGCCAGCCTCGCCTACGAGACAGTCTTCAAGTCTGAAGAGGTGCTGAGGCAGAGCCTGGAAGACCTGGGCAGCAGAGACTACATCGATTGTTTCCGCAGAGACGTGGACACCGTCTTAGGTCTTAGGCCCTTAGGCATTTGGCAGCGTAACGACCGAGCCTCTTTGCTGGATTTCTGCAAAACCCAGTGGCTCTCCATCCCGAAGTTCCGGAGAACGCCGTGTGTGCAGACGTTTATCGACACCCATCTGGCCACGTTGCACGACAACGTCCAAGATGTGGACGAGCGACGGGTGCATCAGCAGCTGCTCGACACAGTTTCTTGTAAGTTCATGGACGGTGCGGTAGCGGAGGCAGATGTTGCGATTGCTGCCTGGATTGCGACGGGCAAGTTGCGGGAGCACCGTGTCATCGATGCATTGATCAAGTCGTTCTACGATGCACAGAGGCGGCTGGCCAGAGGATGCACAAAGCGACCGGGTTCCGGAAAATTCTTGACCGAGGAGATGCAGTTGGAACTCCTGGACACGCTGTCAGGCTGCGGCGTGTGTGGTGCATGCAAGAAGCCGCAGACTCTGTAGCAGAATCGTGTGTGCTCCATCTGATGCCCGGGATAGTGCTTCCCCAACTGTAGGAGGGGCGGGGGGGGGGGGAACGGGTTCCAAGCTGCGGCAAACAGCCAGGAGCTGACAAGAAAGGTGTTGTTCAGATGCTCAAAATGTTCCACGTCAATGCCAAGAAAGTGCCGAAGTTGCAATTCGACCACGAGAGTCTTCCGCCCTTCTTTCTGACTCACCTCTCCGACTCCGGCCGTGAAGCCGCTGAAGGGATCCTGGACCTCCTCGGCGCTCGGAAATCACGGCTCCTGTACTTGTCCTGTGACGAGACATACTTCGCGCCGACCTATCAGGTCGTCACCCATCTCAACGGCCAGGACTATTCCATCGTGGGCGGTGGATGGTCGGAATCCCAGAACTGTGCGCAGCTGGATCCGGATGCCGACAGACCGCAGAGCGCATTGTCGAGGCTCAGCCTGTCAGTGGTTGCCAGCCGCGTGGACACCGACCAGTATTCCTGGGAGACGAACTTGCTTCCCTTGCAGGTGAGCAAGGGCGGCACCAAGGCAGGTTTCATCTTGAAGATCATGGGGGAGTCCATGGAAAATTTCTGCAACGCCAATAATGGCGTTCCTGCTCTGGGATGCGCGTACGACGGCGGTCTGTCCAACAGCGCTTTGAATAGAACGCTCCTCGGCCTCAAGGACCCCTCCAGCCTCAAGGATCTCGCTTTTTGGAAACATCTCCGTGTCCGCCCGCTAAAGGTGGTGCCCCTGTGCAACTGCGGCATCCCTGTCTACCAGCAGCAGTCGCCTGGAGGTGTCCGGGAGTACCCGGTGCTGGGGTGCAACGACTCCCGGCACGTTCTCAAGCGCTTCACAGCGCAGCACTTCTTGGGCACCAGAACCATCTACCACGGTTGTCTCCCAGTAGATGCTTTGGTGATGCTACGGAACAAGATGCCTCTGAAAGCATTCGCTTTGCGCGACGAGATGTCGGATCAGGCATCCTGGCAACGTTTGTGTCCTCGCTTTTTGGATGCATCGTGGGCGAGTGCGGCTGCAGAGCCTACATGTTGCTTGGCAGCATCCTGAGCAGCGTCTGGAATGCCCATTTGAGCCCGACAGACACTTTCCAAGCAGCTAGCTTGGGGTACTACCTGCTGCCTCTTCACCTGTCAGAGAACAGATGGCGTTTCGGCGACAGTGCCGAGTCCAAAAGTTTGCCGGCGCAAACAGTGCAGAACTGCTGCGCGCTTTGCGGCCACGCCATGATTGCCGCTCTGAGCTACGACCCGGCTGAGCCCTGGAGCCTCAAGACGCGTCAAGAATTCATCTCGGAGATCCATTTCGGGAGAGTAAAAGCAGCCTTCCGTGGCGCCGCCACGGTGCGCGACGGGCTTTGGGGTACGTTGCTGCACCACTGGACCCAACTGCGTCGGGTGAAGCGCGAGGGCGCCAAAGCTTGGCCAGCTCTCTCAACAGCGAATCCGCTGAAGCCCGAACATGCCGAGAAGCTTGCCAGCAATCCTTGAAAAACGCCGTTCTTCTGCAGACCTGTCTGTCGCGCACTCGGAGCCCAGAGGGCATCTTGTCCCAGCTGGAGGAGTGGTGGAAGGCAGAGGGGACAGGACTTCTAGCGCAGGACCTTGTCTTTCAGGACCCGGAGGCTGCTGCAGAGGACGAGCTTTACGAAGACGAGGAGGAGCCTGAGGCGAGGGAGGATGGGGAGGCCAACGCCGCCGCCGTGCTCAGCAGCTGTGTGGACTTGCTGAAGGCCAGGGTTTAGGGTCAGGCTTGAACCAGCGCAGAAACATAAGATAACATAAGGATCTCACGTAGGAGACTTGTGTAGGTCAAGCAGCAGATCGAAGATCTGGAGGAAGGCGTTGAAGCAGACACAGAAGCAGCGTCGTCCGTGACGCAAGACGCGACGACAGAAGGGGCCGCAGCACAAGAGCTAGCGAACGCGCTGGTGGAAGGGGAAGCCGAAGGCATGGGGAGAGGGACGGGGGGGGGAACGGGTTCCGGGCAGTTGCGCACGAGACTGCGTGCTATCGTTGTGACTCAGGACCTGAAGACGCGCACACCATCCGCTTCCTTCTCAGCCAGCTTCGCCAAATCCCTTCGTGGCCCAAGGACTGGCACGCACAGACTTCCGCCAAGCAGTTGCTCCAGAGGCTCCAGGAGATGGCAAAGCCAGTCGACGACTACATTCGCGCAGTGAGGCTGCAAGAGCGATTCTTGTCGAAGGTCCAAATCGACAATGAAACAACCCAGCTCCACAGGTACAACGAGATCGAGCATCAACTAGCTCTTGCGCGACAGGCCTCCAGCATCGGCCTGGAGCGCTGCTCACGAGTGGCTGGTTGGTACAGCGTCCAGCAGCACTGTGTGGAAGAAGTGCAGGGCGCGGCTGCCGATGCTCCGGTGCAGATGATTCATCATTACGGGTCCTATGGGCGCCAGCAGTTCCTGTTGTACCTCAAGAGCGACGGAACTGTTGGAAGAGGGCTAGCTTTGACGGCTTACCGAGGAGCCGTGCTCAAGAAGGGTGACGTTGAGAGGAAGAAGAAGGTCACGAAGCCCAGCTGCTCCAGTTTGACTTTGGCCCAGTGTGCAAATCTTCGCAGCCTGGATTTGCTGCAGCGCCATGACGACACATGGACGGCCTGTTTGCTGAACGACACGCTGTTGATGGACCCTTTTGTGGCCGTGTCCTGGCCGAGATCCTGCCCACGCACGTGGTGGCTGACGGTCGTTGCCTTCATGCTCGCTTTTCGGCTCAGGCGCTCAAACTACAAGAGGATTTCATCAAGAAGGAAGCCTGGAAGAAGGAGCCGGCCGCAACGCCAGCGGCTTCGGCTGCACCCGTGCCGGCACTCGCTGGGCTCACCTTCCACAAGCTCACACCGCAGCTGGCGCCGAAGAACGTTCCGATCTACCTGCAGCAGCTTCCCGAGATGTACCTCAAGCGCGGCACCAAGATCTTGGAGGACGATGGGAAATACAAGATCACTGCCACCACCGATCTCGATTGGTCGGAACTTTCCGCCCGTGCTGTCGGCCTGTTCGATGTCCTGCTTCAGGGTCAGTCAGGAGCGACTTTTGGCAAGGGCGTGTTGACCAAGCTTCGCAGCATCCACCCTGAAAGGGAGGACGGCCGCAAACAGCTGCACAACTTTGTTGGGCAAGTTCATCGGCTGGCCTGCCAACGCCCGTGTACAGACTAGCGGTCAGCCCTTGCTCGGTCCCATGACGCATGGACTTGTATGGACTCAAAAGCATGGACTTGTGTGGACTCGCAAAGCATGTCTGCGCGACCTGTCGTGGCAGATTCTGGCAGGCGGCCATCATCTCAAGAGCCGAGTAGCTAACGTATTGTTCCGAAGAGGCATGTTCCATCGATTCGGGCATTGTTAGGTGTCCGATTGCCGACCATGCCAGTCCCCACGCATGCGCCCATTCCGGGTGGATCCCCGCTTTCGCTAGTGGACATGCGCCTGCTTTCCATGCGTGCGCAGGCCTCGCGCACTTGTCTGTAACTGCAACCAAAGTTTCACAACTTGAGTCGGTGCCGGCCAGCATGGATCGCAGCCCATGTTGGCGCCGCTTGGAGGCTCGTCTGGCTTGGTTGCTTTGTTAAGCTCTGCCGTCCTGCGGTATCCTGCCGCCATGTTCCATCGCGCGCTAGGCTCAGGCAGCCGCTCTGAACTCCTTGAGGGCCATGGACTGGACCGCCGAGGCCATGAACGGAACCTTACGCCAAACCCCAAATAGCCGCCTAAACCCTAATCCCCCCCCCCGAACAAATCTACGCAGGACTGGGCGGCCTCCCTGTTAGCCTCTCCAGCCCGTGCGCGAGGCCGTGACTTACGGGCGCCTCGCTCACAGCTTCGGTCATTTCTTCGCGACCCAGTCGCACAATGAGGCACTGCCGACCTCAACGCCGCCCGCTTCACCAATTCTTCATATTGCAGTTCGCAATCCTTCAGCTTCTGGGCTGTTACACCGACGTCTCCCTCCCACGCATGCAAGCTTGCATGATGTTGTCAGGCATGCGAGTTGGGACTGTCGGTCGGCGAGTTAGATATCGGCGACTCCGACGAGGAGTCCGCGCAACAGCAAAGCGATCTTCATGAGGGGCAGGCTCCGGCGGGGAATGGGTTCCAGCCTCTCTCGCATTTTGCAAGGGACATTGCGAGAATAAGTATGTGTCTGAGAGTTTCGGGACAAGCCGGGCCGGCAGCCGCAGAGGCGTAGAAGTGTTGTGGGGTGAGGTCTTCTACGGTTACGGCGGGGTTTGCCCACTGGGTTTTGCGATTTTCGGCACACAGCTCTGAGAATAGGCCCTGCTTAGCGTTTAGGGTTTAGGGTTTAGGGTTTAGGGTCGGACTCAGGCAACCGCAGTAGCACGATCGGTGTCGGAAATGCAGCTGAAACATCGGAGCTGGGCTGTCCTTCTAACTCTCTCCCCACCCCAGTCCCTCAAAGCTCAGCCCTAATCCCTAAACTCTTCTCCGACTCCGATATGATATATTCTCCCCCCTTTCGCATTTTTTTCAAAGTTGCATTTTGCTTCCGTCTTTCCATCAACTCCAACATAGAATAAAAAACTCCCCCGTACTCCCCGATTCCAAAAGTATGGCTCAAGACCACGCTCAAGCCCTCACAAAGGGCTTCGCTCCTTCCCCCCGGCTCAAGCCCAACAAAGGGCTCTCTTGCTGAGATCTCGCTGACAAGTGGCTTGAAAGTCTGAGTGGTGTGTTTTGGGATAGAAGCTCAAAGCCCGGAACAGTGAGCCAACTTTGCAGAATGCCGAGTCTCTCTCACTTTGTTTGCCTCTCTCTCCCCACGTCTCCCACGCATGCAAGCTTGCATGATGTTGTCAGGCATGCGAGTTGGGACTGTCGGTCGGCGAGTTAGATATCGGCGACTCCCACGAGGAGTCCGCGCAACAGCAAAGCGATCTTCATGAGGGGCAGGCTCCGGGGGGGAATGGGTTCCAGCCTGTGTCGCATTTTGCAAGGGACAGTGCGAGAGTAAGAATGTGTGTGAGAGTTTCGGGACAAGCCGGGCCGGCAGCCGCAGGAGGTTTTCTTCGATAAAAGGCCCCGCAACTCGACGAGCGTAAGCAACCTGCCCCCACCAGACACGAGCATCATGAGCATCAGGCGGGTTTCCTGCGCAGTGACAGCGAGCATCATGAGCATCAGCCGGGTTTGCCGCGAGAGCAAAGTACGACCGACAACGGCAAAGGCGTAGAAGAATCAGACACTCGGCCAGAACTTCCGAGCAATTAAACCGCGAGATGCTCCCTGACCGCCCTGGCCACAGGATCCTCGCGAGCGCCAGGGATCTCAGCATTTGGAGGACTTCTCGTGACTGGCACCCTGAAGCTTGCAAGCCCGAAACCTTAAGACGCTGCAGCCCCCGGACACAGGATGATGGGATATGCGTCGTCTCCGACTCGGATCCGGAAGATGCCGAGGAGGAGATGTTGCCGGTTGACAGCCAGGGGCGTATTCTTGTCGATGTGGGTGACAAGGCCTGTTTGGATCCACGGTTGAGCACATGTACGCCGTATTCTCAACCCTAAACCCGAACCCTTATAAACCCTACGCTATAGAGACCTTGGCAGGTTTACGCCATCGATGTGCATCAATTCGACAGCGTGGAGACACCAACCGAGCTGCTTCGAACACTCTACCGGATTCGCTACGAAAAGCCGGTGACAGAAAGCGACGAAGCGCTGCATATGTCCTGGCGTGGAGGCAACTACCAGTATCAGGGCTTTGCACACGAGGCCCAGTGCTTTGCAGTGGCCAAGTACCTCTGGCTCAAGTTCGGCGTCGAAGGACTCCCGGGCATGCCTCGGCATGTTTCCTGGGAGCCGCAGAAGCAACGTTTCCGCTGCCAGCTGCAAGCACAACGCCCGAAGGACAGCGACGAGCGGGCAAAAGGAAAACCGGCCAAGTTCAGTAAAACCTTCCCTGCACCGTCCTTGTCGGCCGAGTCTTTGCGGCAGGGTATGGCAGCTGCCGTAGAGTGGCTTCAGCAGCACCTGGATGTCGTGCCGCCGGCGCCATCCGCCAGGGAGTACAAGTACGTGAAGCTGAAGCCTGCGGACACGCATGGCAGTCGACGCTATCATGTGCAGATGCGTTCTGGAAAGCGTGACAACAAGATGCTGGACGGAGGCCATTTCGAGTCGTTGGACGAGGCGCTGCAGAAAGCATCTCAGATGAGACATAGTCAGCAGAAGAAGCAACGCCGCATGCCCGTCGCGAAGCCCTGAGAAGATTTCGGAACGCACTCCGCTGAAATTCGAGATCCTGCATTATTCCCCGTGCGGAATGTGCTCCCGTAGTTTAGGATCATTGCCGTTTTGACTGCTGCACGATCTCCGATCCCGAGAAGTTGTGGCATTGCAGAATATGCATTGCAGAACATTGCCGAGCATCCCAGGGCCAAAGCTATGTTAAGGCGTTCAGGTATATAGTTTGGGTACCACAGAAAGCAAAACACTCCAGAAGCTCTGCTTTGATTCTTTCCATTGCCTTGGCTCGTCGGTGCTGCCAGCACTGCCCGGAAGCTTCGACGGCTGAAAGGTGTCAGGGTTTCAGATGGTTTCAGGCTCGGGGCCGAAGGATTCAGGATGTTGCAGGTTTAAGTTCTACCGTTCAGGGCTTGGTGCAATATGTTGTAATGGTTTAAGCTGTCGGATACATGTTTGGATGATTGGCTACGATTCGGGATGGTTTCGGGATGTTTGGGGTCGTTCAAGGCCTGGGACTGGCGTTCTTGGCGTAAGGCCTCCGTCCAACTCCGTCCTAAACCCTCCTCGACTCCTCAATCCTAAACCATCCTAAACCCTTATAGATGTATATATATGTATATATATATATATGTCTGCGCAGGTATAGAGCATTATACAAAAATATATTACACTTGTGTGACATGAATAGTGAAGTAAGTTACGTGGAAGGTGAAATGTTTCATTTTTAGCGCTTAGGCCTGAATATTGAAATTTTCAGGGTGGGAGGTACTTTGTTTCATTTCGGCATAAAGGGCTTAGAGGGGGTCCTTAAATGAATGTTTCATTTTTGACCCCCCCCTACCGTAAGGCAGGGGTGATTCCTCAATAGTGGGTATTTAGGGTAGAATAGAGGGTAGTTCGGGGGGTG